GCTGTGAAAGGTGAAAAATGTTGACATCAGCTGTAATGGGACATGTTATGATGGCCTTTTTATTTTTAGTTTGGTAACTTATTACAGTCTCATATAGAAGTTATTGTATAACCAACAGATATGCTGTCATATCAGCAGCATGCATATGTCTATGTATATATGTGTGTTCACTTATCTTAAGTTCAATAAATCAAGGTTGGTCTGATAAAAACTGGGTGTTTTGGACTTGAGTTTACATGGCACTATACCATTGGTAGTCATGGTAGTAAGTATTGGGTGGATAGAGGACAGTCCTTGGGTACTGTCACTGTACGTCACCTTGTGTGTGCCAACTTTGGCTGGAACTTCATGGGGCTGGACCTCTGCTTATAGTGATAGGGTGAGTCTCCTTGGTTATAGGGTGAATTTCCTCACCACTTCAGGGCCACTCAAAGAGTTCCCTATTTTAATTTTCTAGTGTATATAGCTAGGAAACTGTTAACCTGATTGTAAAAACTATTTAATGCCTGTCATCAAGCAGTCATCAAGTCACAGTGTTGGCAGTTTAGTCTCAGTCTGCAGAGTTCAGTATGTTGTGCCAGTCAGCGGGTTGTCTGTGTTAATATGCAGTAGTAATGGCAGGTAAGAGAGGAAGTCCAGGAAATAGGGGGCAGTCTTCAGGTATATTATCTGATGCTGCAGCCACCTTGGGGCCAGCTTAACAAGGTAACAGCCTGCCATGTGGTCAGTGTCAGATTAAACAATTAAGTGTGTCCCTGTGGTGGCTGGAGGTGTCCACCCCTTGCTCAGTGAACTGTGTCCCCAGGGTTTCCCTGTGGTCAGTCTACTGTGTCCAGGGACACCTGTACAGAGTGATATATATGGCCAGATTGCGTGTACCACAGGATGGACATTGAGTGGACAGCACAAGATAACTATCACAATACCATTACATAGCCACAGGACAGTTATCTCTAAGAATATTACAGTTCTTTCTTTGCCCGACTCATTTATGAATGGTACTCGACAAACATTTTTCATCACTTTATTTCTTTGCAATAAAGGTGCCCCATAGATATTAACTGGGGTTATTTTGGATCCAAAGTGACCAGTGGCACTGTGGGAATTGGGAAAAAATTTTTTTCTTAAAAGTGAGTTAAGGATCCCCTAAAGTTGCACTAATAGAAATACTTAGTTTTTTATTTATGTGCATTTTTTTGCCATTTTACTGTATGAAGTCTGTGAAGACAGAGCTGAAGTCTGTGCTCCCTGTGATATGATTTGGGACAATTAACTAAGGTCCTAATAATAACAAGGTTGAATTACTGAAGTTCTTCACAGCAAGTTAAAAAAAGCTCAATATATGTCATCATGGATTTTTTTGCAGATAATCTATCACTTTTGTAAGACTTCAAAAGAAATTTAAAGTTCACATTTTTTGTCTCTACTAATGTGATTTTATCATGATAGAAGAATACCAATTGGCATAGAGATAGTCTGCCACCTAGTGGATAAATTTCTGGTAAAAAGAATCTCTTCTGAGGAAAGGTTTCCTGAATCCTATTGAAGTAAGTGACAGGAGGGATTGGTAATTCACAAATTGGATTACTGGGTTCTCTTTACACTTGAGATGCTTCACACACACAGGCAGCTGCACTTGGTGGCTTGAGTGAGTGGAAAAAACCCTGATTTGTAGAGAGAGGTAGAGGGCTGTATTTATCCCTTAGCCTGCCATGGCTGTCTGTAAAGGACCACATAGTGTCCCCTGTATCTAATCTTATTAACCTTTGACTATCTGTGAGCCTGCATATTGAGAAGAAATATCGAGTGCAACAATCCTTTCCTGCTGAGAGAAGTATTTTATGTGAAGGCTGGCTGAGGGAAATGCACTGAAATAAAAGGGAAATCTCCCTGATAAATAACACAGAAAAAGCTGGATATACCTCTGCCTGCAGACCAGGCTAGCTGTTATCTCTCTTCCTGGCCAGTGCAAACACCAGGCAAGGGTTCTGTACATAGCACCTGGTATTGGGAGAGGTGGAGAAGGAGGGGACAAATTATTTTGGAGATAGAAATTCCTGTCCACATTCTGATCTTCTTTCATTGCTTTTAAGTGAGCCTCCTGCCTCATGTTATATTTAAAACCACAATCTTAAACATTGTGTTATTGGTTTTTCTGTGTAAAGATAAACCCCAGGGACGTGTGCCTGTAGTGCTATATTCAACAATATTGCAGTAGATTTCCTTCACTAACTATGATCTGTTTAACATATTCTAGGGAATTGTGTGCATTCTTGGTAAAGTTCCAGAAAGCTGGTCTGGCTCTGTGCCACATTCCAAGTAAAACATTTCCTAGGAATAAAGACAAAAATCAGATATTAGATTGGGGGGGGGGGGGGGGGGGAATGTTTCCATAGTTGTAATATACCAAAGTTGTTAAAGCTGTATGTCCTGGCTTTAATACCAGAGCAGTTGAAATTCTTGTAAATTTGATCATTTTGTGTTTGAGTTGATTGTTTTATATCAATACACATATATAAACAAGGTATATAGACGTGCCTGCTGCTGCAGCTATGGTAAGACTCTATATTGGTACGTGGTGGAACAATGCAATTTCTCTGTAACAATGTGTGCCAACACTATTTTTACCTGCAGTGCCTGGATATCTACATAAAGCTTGGCACCTATTAAAGTGATTAGGAATTCACTCATATGCAAGTTATATTTCCTTGTTACATTTCCATATGTATATATCTGGACATAAATGACATTTGTGATTGGTGCAGAACTAATGAGGCCTGATAAATACATTATCTGAGATATAAAGCCCTGGCTACTGTGTGACTGGGATATAACTGTTTTCTGAGATCATTACCTGGGATAACCTCACGGGGACAACAATGACCTAAGCACACTGCAGTTGTTCATAATACACATAGTTTCAATGCTGATCCTGCCTCAGTGGTGATACACCTTCCTAGGTTATACCTACTGTTGTTTTTTATGGACATTTTGGTGTTTATAGTCAAGTTGTGTGGTTTTGGATGACTGACTGGTAATTGCTATGCACCCTTTGCAGTTATATTACTACAGAGAAGTGAATATTGTGCTCAGAATAGAAGTGCACTAGCTGTTCCTTATGCAACTTTTTATGTAGGATACCTGTCCATGTGGGTCAAGGTGCCGAGCGGTGTGGGCAGATAGGTGACCATTACTGAAACTGGCAGAATTTGTAGTGGGAGAATCAGAAAATAATTTTTAAGCACAAATAAATAAATGAGGTGCTAATAAAAATGTCTTCTTTTTTCAAGTTTTCTGTATCCCTTAATGTGGTTGTCTAGTTCAGTGTTAATTCTCTGTATAGTGCCCATCCTCAGGTAGGCTGTTCTTTTAATGAGTTAAAAACCAGGTCAACAGAAAGGTACTGGGTCACCCTGACCCACTGTCCCATCTTCTGGTCCAGTAAACACAGGCTATATTAAGAACAAATCCTCAAAACATAATCAACAAATGAAAATCAGTGGACAGTAATTATACTACTAGTAAACATAGAGCTGACAGCAAGGAAAAGGTACACTTTTTATTAAAATTAAGAGTTTTTACTGAAGTTTGTTCAGTTTTTAGTTGGCTGGTTATAAGTGTTAAATGTTTTTGTTAAAATGATTGATAAATTTAGTGTGGCCCATAAAAATATCAGTTAAGAGAGTGACCGTATGACTTTATTTACTGTAAAAACCATATTTTTGTTTTTTTTTCTTTTGGTGGCATACACTTATACATGCTCCTCTCAATTATATAGGGGTCGACTGTACGGAAATATTTAAAGGAATCAAGTTTTTAAATATGGTAAAAATGACTAAGTTTGAAAAGTATTGCAATGACATTTTTTTCAAAGAAAATTAAAAGGGTGAACAAGTAGAAAATGTCATTGTAAGCCAGCCAAGGGGTTAAGTTCATTGTTAGGTAATGGTGGTGTACTGTAGCTGCAGTTGTGTAAATAAGCTTTGCTTGTGTTGGAGTAACAGGAGCTGTAGTTACATAGAACTTGCCTGGGCTTGACTTACCTGTGGCTTAGACCACAGTGACAGCCCCTATTACACTGGGATCACACCACTGGCCAGCCCAGACACATCATGACTTACCTGTGGCTTAGACCACAGTGACCCCCCCCCCCCCCCCCAATTACATAATGGGAACATAATGTTTACCACTGGCCAGCCCAGACACATCATATCACCTCCCATTCTCTTTCAGTCTCAAGTTAAAAGAGAGAATGTGGCCTGCCTAGGCATATAGTATCCCCTTCCTTTCTCTCCCCCATCTCATTAGCTATGCCATGTGGTTGGCCCAGTACTATACCACACTAACCAAGTGTAGGGAGATAGTACCTGACCTGTGCAGTATGCAGCTATATTTGTACTGTTCCAGTAAAACTGACTATACTGAGGTGAGCCCTCCCCTCCTCCCTCCTTCCTACTTACCCCCACTGCCCCCCACCCCAATCCACTTAGATACCCTCCTGCTGACATGTTTGTGTTATTGGTTGATTGTCTAAAATATCAGCCCTTAATCATTGTTGCTGATCATTATTTATTATACAATCTGACTTGACTATCTAAAGCCTTTAAATTTCCTCTTTATTTTCCAGATAGTTCCTGTTGACACAGATGACGAAGAGGTGAGTCCTTAATTAATTTAGTCACATTAACTGTAAGAAAACTGCAGGTGTGTAGATCAGGGTAAGACTAAAGGAGGAGAACCTGAAATGTAATGCAGAGTTAGACTTGCTGAAGACAGTTTTTACAGTTAATAGGTGTCACGTGTAAGAAAGTGTGATGTCCAGTTGAGTTAGTAGGTGATTTATATTCTCCTGGTGTCACATTAATACACAGTGGTACCTATGGTGCTGGCTATAGGGTGCAGCCAGTACATGGTGAAGGTGTGAGGACCAAGTATTACATGTGACAGGATCATTTATATCTCNGTGTGCAGATCAGGGTAAGACTAAAGGAGGAGAACCTGAAATGTAATGCAGAGTTAGACTTGCTGAAGACAGTTTATACAGTTAATAGGTGTCACGTGTAAGAAAGTGTGATGTCCAGTAGAGTTAGTAGGTGATCTATATTCTCCTGGTGTCACATTAATACACAGTGGTACCTGTGGTGCTAGCTATAGGGTGCAGCCAGTACATGATGAAGGTGTGAGGACCAAGTATTACATGTGACAGGATCATTTATATCTCCCAGTCAACCAGTTCATACTGTCTAGACACATCTGAACACCAAAGGAAGATTTGCCTTCACACTTAAAAAACATGCTATAAATACTCTCGTTTGAGACTCAAAACAAACTGCCTATCATTTTTTAAGTTGAAATGTTGTTGCTTTCATCTCATGGTCATTCTGGTGTATATGGTCAAAAAGACTGCATCAGTTACTTTGTGTGTGGCAGGTGGTAAATGCAGCAGTGCATGATTTCTTATACCCTCAGTCAGGTGCCGACTACAATAATATAACTTTTGTAATCTGAATTATTGACTAAAAACTAAGAGTCTGGTCTGGAAGAGCAGAGCTTTAGAGAAGGGAATCTGGAAAAATGAACAGAGCGCAAATTTGGGAAAACCTGGGGTGGACTGGTCTGCAATAGGTTGCTCATATGCTGTCTTTAAAAATAAAACATTTCTTTAAGAAATGAGCAATAAAGGCTACAAGCGATTTATTTTGAAACGAAGGATAGAAATAAATCGGACATATCTTGATACCTGTGCTTAATGCTTTCTGTCATGAAAGCAAACTTCATTTCCAGTCCTCATAGAGCTCCTGTATCCGGGAGGGGAGTGGAAAAGAATAAAACTAGTTTACACATAATGAGACTGCTATTTACACTAACCAATCTACTTCCTAAAATGATAACTTGGCTTTTTGGTGTTATCACTTGTTATATTAGTAAAAAACAATTGTCTGATAGGGGTGGTTTCTAGGGATCTGTGCTGACTAGAGCCTGGGGAGTGCTCAAAGGGTTTAACAGGTAACTACCAGATTAAGTTAGTAAGGAGGTTAAACACTTAGTTTAGTGGCTTTCTTGATGTACAAATCTTGCTATGAGGTTGAATGTCTTAAAAATGAGTATTAGTGGTTAACAAGCCAGTAGACTGATCAGTTTTCTGGTGGGAAATCTGGTCAGAAGGGCAGTCGTGGTCTGGTCGGCAGGCTGGTCAGTTGTCTGATTGATGCTACATTTGACGGTTGACAGTCACTTAGCTCCTCTCTTGTATTTGGTATTTTATAAAGCATGACCTCAAAAGTTACACGGTAAAAAAAAAGCAACCATATTTAAAAGTAAAATTTCAAAAGTATAGTTGATATGATGACTGCTAGTGTTAACAGTGCTAAAATTAAACCAGTCTTATTGCAACAGCATGTTGACATGCTAGAAAGGTTCCACACTTTATAAAATGTCATCTGAAAGCAGCAATTCATGAAAAGTGATATAACTTTTCAAAGTCTTCCCACTATTTTCTCTTTCAACAAAGTGATTCCCTTCTAACAAGTGTCATCAGTACAGATAAAATATGACAGCAGTACTATCATTGGGGATCTCTTTCACACCTCGTTGTCCACCTCCTAGGTTATTTTTAGCAAACCGCACTGGAGATAGGTGATGACTAAAAAAAAAAGGCCTGCTGCTGTATTAGCATAGCACTGACCAAGGCAGTGTCAGTCTGGCCGGCAGCTCATGAAGACCCAGTGAACACCACCTGCTTTTGGGTATTTTTTGCTCCAGATCTCATTAAGTCATTGTCCAGCTAACTGTTATCCAGGTGTGTGGAAGAGATACCACATTGCCTATACAGCAGCCAGGCATGCATTGCTTTGGGTATGCTTCAGCAGGGCACCTGTAAAATGAGGTATGCAGGGGTAGGGCACCTGATGGTACATTGAAGACAATTAGTGCCCTAGAAGTTTAAGATAATGAATTGTAGCATGATTTGTGACATGCAGCAGAATTGCTAGGTGACTAATCAGATAAGAACTCTCTACATAGAGCCTATCTTTATTATACAAGCCCTGAACCAGAATATCTCTGTGGTGTCAGCTGCAGGCCCCAAGCCAGGCTACTTATGAATTCATTCTGTGTTGTGAGTCAGAGGTAATCAGTTAGTGAAGGAAGAGTGATGGTGCTGGGACACCCCTCTATGTGCCTTGCTGCTGGGGAAGACATGGGACTGAAATCAGTTTACACCAAAGATATGGGAAGTTGCAGACTGCTTCCACACTAAGATCTCACATGTTGACTGGGTTCATGGCAACCATGAGCCTGCTTTAGGGGGAGAGGATGTTGTCGTTAAGTTTTAACAATAATGACAACAACTCTGAGAATAATGTTATCAATAATGACAACATGGGGCACCCTTCAGATAATCATGTTAGCAATGCTGACAATAAGGTGAGAGGAGCTCCAATGTTATTGCCAGAAGGAACTTAGTTTTAACTTAAAAACCAAATATGTTAAGTCCTCTCTAAGTGAGCACGTTACTTCTTGAATGAAGACTGAAAGCAGACTCACCCAGTGTGTCTTAACTACTGTCACATGCACTGTCTTGTATAAATCAGTGTCCAAGGACCATGACTTGTCTCTAAGCAGACTTTTTAGACGTTTCTTCTATGTACAACTTATACTAGTACAGCATGATTTTTTTGGACAGTTTGGTTGATTGAATTTCAGTTGGAGCAAAGTTTCCAACTTCAAAGAGAACAAATGATTTTAATGATATTAAAAACGTTTTTCAGCAAACAATTTTGTCTGAAATTTAAGTTTTAAACTTGTATATGTGATTATTGACTGACTTGTTTTTATTTTTTCAGACACAGATGTTGTTTGTAGATGCATTTCTACAAAACAACCGTCTTGAGCACATTGTCCAGGTGATGGGCTACCACCCTAAATACCTGGACAGTTTCCTCAAGACACAGCAGTATATTCTCCGTGGAGATGGACCTCTTCCATATGACTACAGACACTATATAGCTATCATGGTGAGTAGACTTCACTTCTGTATCTTGTACAGCTTGTAGATAGGCATATTTTGGTCTCTAATTTAATTATTTCTTCAGTAATGCCAGACTTGTCTGGCAAGCTAGCACTTCATATTGAACTTGTGATATTCTGTTCTGGTGATATCTGCCTTGATGTAGTGCACGCCTTGGACCAAGTTTCTAGCTCGGTGTCAGCTCGGTGTCAGCTCGGTGTGTTCCAGTGACACTCCTATCTTGGCTGTCTCAGTGCAAATCTTTTTTTTTCCTGGCAAAGTTCACTTGTGTTTCTTCTGTACACAAGGGATTAGGTTCTTATGGCAACATCACAGAAGTAGGGTTGTTTTGTTACCCTTGGCTTTTATGCTATTGGAAACTCAAACTTAATGGAAGAAAGTTGAGTTGATTTAAACCGAATTGCTAGTCTTTTTTTTTTTTTTGCACTAAGACCTTTCAAGACAATATGAAGAGTTGTTTGCTTATAATGTTACTTTACAGTTCAAGCAAGCAAGTAATGTTTGCCGTTAATAGAACAAAGGTTTGTGAAAAAAGTAGTCAGAAAAAGGGAAGAAAGAAAAGGAAATTGAAGATAGATATTGGTTAGATACGTTTCCTTTTAACCAGAAAATTGGGATCAGTTGGAAAGCATATCTGTTCAAGTAGTTTGAAAAAATTCACTTTTAGAATTAATGTACTAACTTTTGACACTTTGAAACTGCTTAAATGAATGTTTAGTCTATTGTTTCCCAACCCCAAGGTGCAGCCAGTTCAGTTTTCGCTGTACCTCAATTATTTCCCAGTCCTTAAGTACAGCCAGTTCAGTTTTCTCTGTACTTTAATGGGACAAGAACCCAACATCCCAGTTGCGTGCAAGTCTAAGATTGCACAGTGTGATGTAAGGTTAGAAATCCTATCAAGGTGATAGCACAGTAAGTGCAGTCACCCCATCATTAGTCAGCAGTCTTAGCAGTAGTCCTACATACCAGATATGTTACCAGTCTGACACTGGTTAATGTGTAACTAGAGAGAGGTGAACCACCATTTCCCCTCCTTCCTCTGTGGCCGGGGCCCTGACTCAAAGCGAAATGGACACTTGACTTCATTAGCTAGATTGAGATGTGTTAATATGTAACATTACATAAACAGGTGATAAAAGACACTTAGATCATGCAAAGCCTGCACTGTAGCAGTCTTAACACTGGGGCTTTAGCTGCTTTGTGTATAGTGGTTAGGAATAGAGAATGGACCAAGTTCTCCCTCTCCGCTATAGAACAGATCTCCATGGAAAACTTTAAACTATGCTTGAGTATTGGCAAATGAAATACGAGTTTTACATTTATTCCAAAATAATTGAATTGATATTAAAACAAAGGATTTGAGACCAGGCAGGTTTCTTTACAGGTGTATGTGTGTGTGTTTGGGGAGGGGGGTGAGGTGAGAGCTGGGTAGGTCAACAACACTGACCTGTTTGTGAACTACATCTGATATAGTTATCTAATAGCTGAAAATTGACTCTGAAATCCATTTCCTTCCTTTATTCCCATCCTGCAGATAGACTCTTTAACTCTGTATTTTAAGTCAGGATAGGACACGTTGTTGATATCAAATACAATCAAGTTGTCTGTTACAAACAACACTATTGTTATTTATATTTGTGCTCTTTGGTTTCGAAGAGATGGGTGTGTCACCGTGGGCTGTCAGAGATTTAACAGACCAAACTTCTCCAGTATCTGAGAAAGATGAGCCTTCATTCATATGTCCAGAGTGAGAATGATGTTCTACATGCAATGCTGTAGTCTGAAGTTGCATGTCAACTGGTCCTGCATACTTGGCTGTCATTGACAGAGAGGTCAGGGGTGGCTCACCAAGTTGTTGACCATCTTGCTCTTTTAGAGATGGTCACTGCTGATACCCTAGATGTTTGGCCTGGATCTGGAGTTCCGTAATACTTACCTGTGTCACTGATATAGGTACAGAAGAAATGACACTGCCATCAGGCCTACAAACACCAAGATAAATCTTTAGGTCCTAAAACTCCATCTAGTTGAAGGTATCAACCTTCTCACAACGTACCACTGGTAATTTTGCTCATTAAAAAAAAAAAGATAATTTCCAGTTATTTCTGAGATCTGAAATGGTGATAAGCAGAGAAAGTGTCCCCATTCTTAAATATTCAGTGCAGAGAGAGAGGGGTTAACATGTAATTCTGTGGACTAGAGCCAGGTTGCTAGGGCAGGTCTCCATAAAAAGCTGTGTCACATGGCGTGTATTATCAGTGCTGGTCATCAGTGGGCACTGAGCTGTGTCTGATGGACTGGTGCCTGGGGGATGAAGGCACTCCACACATTATTATATATTGCTGTATGGTATATTCTGCAGATAGGAGGGGAAATAAAGAATACCTTTTGAAGAACTAAGTGTTTCATAAATGTAGACAACATCTTATTTTTCTTCTTTTATTAATGAATATAATTATGTTTTTTACTGTCTTGTGTATCAGGGTGAGGGTGATGCCAAGGGAAAATAGATACTATCTTGTTTATTAGACAGTGTCTGTGAATTGTGAATTTGTGTTTAATTTCTGAAATAAGGTTTATATTCCTGTCGATGGTCCTGTTATGCCATTGCTCCTGTTTGATCAGTTGATATGCAAATGGCAGTTAATTTCTGTGCTGTATTCTGTTGCTCAGGCCTCTGCCAGACACCAGTGCTCATATCTCATCTATGCTGTATTCTGTTCTTCAGGCCTTTGCCAGACACCAGTGCTCATATCTCATCTATGCTGTATTCTGTTCTTCAGGCCTCTGCCAGACACCAGTGCTCATATCTCATCTATGCTATATTCTGTTCTTCAGGCCTCTGCCAGACACCAGTGCTCATATCTCATCTATGCTATATTCTGTTCTTCAGGCCTCTGCCAGACACCAGTGCTCATATCTCATTAACCTCCATAAGACAGAGTTCTTGCTGTGTGGTGGGGAGGAGACCTGGCTGAAGGGGCTGGACCACATACCACAGAAACTACGAGACCTGTATGAAATCATAAAGATATTAGCACACAGGCCATGGCTAATATCCAAAAACCACATTGAGGTATGTTCATCTTTGGCAAATCTTTGTCTCCTTTAACTTAACCAGTATTTAAAAGGTGTTGTTCTAAATATTTGAGTCATTACCTGATAAAGTTTTATTTGAATTTTGAATTTCACTGTAGGGAAATGCCCAGAAATAGGTGTATAAGAAAAGGAAGGTCTGTGGATGAGATCCATGTACATGTGAATGAATTTTGTTATTTTCAGAAACTGACACGGGGCAATGATAACTGGTCACTAGCAGAAGTGATGCATGCTCTAATTATAATTGCACACTTCCATGCCATGTGCTCATTTGTGTACGGCTGCGGTATTCACCCTGAAATAGACGAAGAGAACGGACACACCTTCCGCCCTTCTTCATCGTCAGACAGTGAAGACAATCACTCCAGTAGCAATAGTCACTCTGGCTCCCCAACCTCAGTAAGTGACTCCTCATAATCTTTGCTCATAAAACTTATCTTTGCACTACATTTTTGTATTTCTGTGTAAATTTTGGTCTAACAGGCTTCCCTTTTTTGAAGGCATGAACATCACAGTTGTACGCTATGATACCGTGTTGTTGTATGCTGTTATGAAACTGGTGGACTAGTATATTACAGCTGTGTTTTATGATAATATGGTATACATATACATCAAAATTGTGGTATTTTACAGACAGATGCAGCGGCAGGGATTGAGGCTCTGATGGAACGCATGAAGCAACTCAATGAGACAGGAGAGGAACCAACACAAGAAGAAATGTTAGCCAGATTCCAGAAAGTGGAGTCCCAGAGTTTAGAATGTGAGTCTTTGTTAGGATGAAATGTGATTTTTTGGAAAAAAATAGGTTAGTTTTCACCTTATTAAGTGCCCATCTTGATTGCTGTAATAAGTTCTATTAGAAAGGTTTTGTGAATATTGTATCACAAAATGGATTGTTTTCTTTTTCAGTGGAGGCAGGTAAATCCCAGCTCTCACCTAAAGCCAGTATTTTGTGCTATGTGGAAGATCCCAGCTTTGGGTATGAAGACTTTGCCATGAGGGGAGCAGTACAGGAAATCCCTACATTTAGAGCACAGGTAAGTTCACCTGGGCCCGCCCTCTTACTGCACAACTGAGATATACAGTAAAGATCTGAATTTGATAGACATAGAGCTGTTTGATAATAAGACTGGTGTATTTTGGTATACATATGGCTGTGTAGTATTGAAATTGATGTATTTTAGTATACATACCTCTTTTTAGTAATAAGACTGATGTATTTTGACATATTTTTGTATCATGAAAACATTATTTGTAGTCCTAACCTAGTAGTGACAGGAGTATGTGAATGTTTTCAGGACTTCTCCTGGGAGGACCAAGGCTACTCATTAGCCAACCGTCTGTACTCTGACATAGGAACTCTACTTGACGACAAGTTTAACACAGCATACAATTTGACATACTTCACGTGAGTGGCTACAGGGTTTCTGTTATTAATTGAGTTAGAAAGGTTTTTATTTAAGTCTTAAAGCTGATAAAATTATCATTGTAAGACTGATGATTTGAACACTGGTTTACTACAGTGACTGCTAGAACAACACTGCCTTGCGGTGTTAGGTTTCCAGAGGCTGAAGAAAGTTTCACTTTGGTACACTGGTGTTAAATTCAGTATAATTAATATCATCTGTTGTGTTGACTTGCAGAATGGGTCCCAACACAGATGTGGACACGTCTTCTTTTCGTCGAGCAATCTGGAACTACATCCATTGTATGTATGGTATCCGCCATGATGACTACAATTATGGAGAGGTGAACCATCTGCTGGAGAGATATCTCAAGAGTTACGTTAAGACGGTGACCTGCTACCCAGAGAGGGTCTCCAAGAAAGATTACGACAACTTCATGAGGGGGTTTAAGCACTCAGAGAAGGTAAGCTCTCTTTTCTGTTGCTCTCTTTGAAATGAACATCATTTAATGTTAACACTCTGTGCAATGAGATATATAATGGAAGCCAGGGAATATTCAGCACACTGTAATTTTCACCATTAGGTTGCTCCAAGTTGTATCATTAATGTGGATATTTGGTTATTTTCAGGTCCATGTCAACCTAATGCTGCTAGAAGCCAAGATGCAAGCAGAACTGCTGTATTCACTGCGGGCACTTACACGTTACATGACCTAGTCTGCTGCTGGCCAAAGATTGCCCCAGTTCACACTGACTGGCTCCCATATACAGGACTGAAGGAGCTCGTATTGGTGCTGTGCATGCCACCCCATCTAGTGGTAATGAACCACTGGTTGTATTTGGACACCTTAAACTGACTGATAAAGTGGAAGACTGCTCTCCTCTCCATGCTTCTATTGTTTCATACGGCGTGGCTGGACATGGAGGGAAGATGGCCTGGACTCCCTGCTGGAGTCTGTGTGGCCCCCTAGTCTTTCATACTGATATCTTGGTGCTATGTCACACAAGCGTGTACATAGAGAAGAGGACTGGTTCAGCTGTGATAGTTGTGTATATTCTGTACAAAGTGTCAGGCGTTTTCATCACCTTTCCATTCTTCATACAGATTCACATTTCAGACATACCAGCACAGTTTGGTGCTGTGGTATATATATATATATATCATTAGTCATTAAAGATTTCATGTACTTTGTCAACAGTGCCATAGGGAAAGACTTGGCATCTCTGTAGTACTGCACCACACCCTGTCAGAACCAGAGACATCTACATCATAGCTTGGGTAAAACCACTTAGAATTAAGAAGTCTTAAGCTTTAAACTGATCAATGAAATTGATTGTCTCTATTCATAGAACCACTGTTAGTATCAGTATTGGTAAAGCATTTCTGCTTGGAAACATGTTAGTAGTAATAGCTCTGTATGAGAGTGCAGACATAGACTGATATCACCATATTTGATGTGTGAAAGGTAGATAAGCTGTTGGTCATTATTTTTTATGAAGATACTGTTGCCATCCATGTAGAAGGTGCTGCCACCTGTAGGGTAAAACTATGGCAGGCAGTGCCCTGTTGAACAGGAAGGCTGACTTTGATCTGTGCACATATATACAACACCTGTAGTGTTCAACAGTACAGTTTTCAATACTTATACGTTATTTCCCTCGGCCTAAAATCTCTTATCTGGTGTACAAGAACCTATGGTGTGCTTACAAAACATCCTGCGGTGCACCTCCTGTAGAACAGGTTGAAACTGAACAGTTTCACACAACATGCCTGCAGGGAAGTGGTCATTTGTGTCATTTTTATCATCAACTTTGATTTCTAAAGTGAATTTGCTATTGTTAATGTCATTTTTTACAATAATATAAATAAATATAATTGTTTTTTATGTCAACGTATAGAAATGATGGCTCATTGTTGAGGAGCAGTATGAGGGTATGCATTATAAGGTGAATCAGCATTAGTAAGGAATTGAGGTTTGTAGAGTTGGAGTTAATCCTATTAAGATTTTTGTTATTTTTCATGGCTTATATTTCTGATGCTGGTATCGCGTTTTGTGATATGCCATATCAAGTGTACTGTCTTGAGTACACCAATGGTGTATGCTGTTCATACTTTGCTATTGATGTTGTCATTATTGGGCCCTGAAATGAGTGATATAATGAAGAGGACAGTTTACCATATATTGTTATCAAATTATTTGCATGGATGCTCAAGGATAGATGGCGCCAGGTGCATCAGTATTATTATGTCCATATTTGTGTGCAAAGGGAAGCAAGAATTTATTTGCATTTTGTGACAGTGATTTTTTTTACAATTACAATTAAAATGTAGTAATAACTTAAAATGAACTGGTCTATTTCCTGATACTCCACTTGTTTTTTATCATTGTGCATTGATATTGCTGTAGGGTGTATTTCTTGCTAGAGGCCAGTTAACTGTATAAGTGAAAATTATTTGATTTGTCATGAAAACATATTATGAAAATGCTGGTATATTTTCAGGGCATATGTTTTGTGAATGAGCAATCTCAAGGAGTGATTTACAGGCAGTATTTTCTCTAGATGATTTAGGTTATTGCTGTATTCTGTGTGGCTACAGTGTGGCTGGCAGTAGGGAAGTGTGGCCTAGAGAATCACCAGGAAACTTTTTTTATGGACACATAATTCTAAGAGCTCTTCTTGACACTGTGGCCTCATATGGGTAAACATAAAGATTATTATAGATCAGTGATATATTTCTGTGTCAGTAGCAGTGGATGTTTCATTACCCTGTGGTAATTATAACATTTTCAAATCAGCTGGCACAGGAAAACTTTTGTCTGATAATTTGCATTTTCCTGGATTTGTAAATCACGTTGTCTAAAATGCTTAGCTTATCTGACCACATGATTGGTCTAAGCAAGGAGTATATCAGTACAACTCCATGGTCATAGCAAGTTTTGAAGGTGACTAGGCACCTGCCCTTGTGGAGACTTCGCCAGGAAATTGTCACGATTTGGCTGGACCCCAGCAAGGTGGTCTGCATCACTCTTCAACCTCTGGCTGAAGTTCTAGGTGCTGATCTATGGATCTTTATGGTGTCTAGTTTGATAGTAATATGTTATGACCAGACTGTAGATAAGGTGACAGGTGCTCCTTACCACCTGTGCTATAGTTTGTATTCTAATAGTAGTCTAACAGTGATATTGAGAAGTGTTGCTTTCACAAGGAGCATGCCCAGGTGCTCCTGAAGGTTATAATAAACTGCTCCCATTTGTGTTTGGCTACAGGGACTGGGGGGTGGGAGGAGTTTGGTGTGACCACAGGGAAGGGTGATTGGGGGGGGGGGTGCAGTTGTGGCCACAGGGAAGCCAATATATCTATATATATAATTTAAGCAACAGAAGTTTCCACCAGAAACATATGATTAGTTTATTCCAAGTACTTGCTATGCTGTTTTCTAATGTATGTTGTCCAAAGCACGTTTCCTTTTTCTTGTGAGAATTTAATATTTCTTCCAAAGGAAGATACATCATGTTCAATGTCAATAAAATGAATAAAAAAATTCAGACTGATTTGTTCTTTTTTTAAAAAAATCATATTTGTGATTTCTTATTGAGCGAGTAAGCCTTTCTGTTCTTGTCCTTCATCCCACAGTGCCTGTGTGCCTTGCTGCCCTCATGAAATAGTTTAACCAAACGAGTCCAGAAATGAACAAGAGAACTCTGTTGGTGTGCAGTTGAAGACATAAATAAAATTATTCTTAAAAACTGAGCCCAAAAAGAAAATTGTCAATTTCAAAATTTGCCTTAAGTAAAAGGGATCAATCTTCTCCTGACTTCGGTACCAAGTAATTTTCCCTAAGAATCCATTTTCTCTCACTCAAGAATCATTGCTTTACCTCACACAAGAAGAGGAGACTTATACAAAAACTCAGTCAACCACAACTATCTGTAACAACTTCAAGGTTTGTTATTCTCAGTGGCCTGACATCTATTGGAGATTTTAACATCAATTTTAATGATGTTCACATCAACTTCTGCTTGTTCTAACTTGGCATAGTACTGTCAGTCTCCACATTTTATTAACAATTGATTTTCCATGCTAGCTTCTAAACAAATCCCGAATGGCTGTAGTTTGTGTCAATGAAATGACCGTTTTTGAAATCAACTGACATGCCTATGTAACTAAAAAATATGATTTTTTTACAAGTATGAGAAAAACTTGTTAACAACCCCAGCCCATTCTTTCCGTCTTTTCTTTCTTTTTTTTTTTTTTTTTTTTTTTTTTGGGGGGGGGATCGAGAAGGGGCAATTTTATTCTCAGTAAATGTCTCTACATGTAGTTGTACTTTACACTCCTGCTCTTCGTTGGTAACAATGACCATTCCAGCCTTTCTTTGGTCTTTAAAATCCCGTAAGGGTCTCTTCAGCTGTAGGGAAACATATTTGGAAAAGAAAAACATGTCACTTATTTCAGGTCTACTGGAGAGACCAATTTCCCCAGAAGCACTGTCACAGCAGTACGTGTGGGCACAAACACTCGCACACTCATACGTAGATCTAAGTAAGCATTATTATTATTATTATTATTATTACTACTATTACTTATTGTTAATATCCATGTTTTCCATAAGTTACTAAATGCCCTACACTTTTAGATGTCTGAAGTTTGGTGACATCCTCATTATGCGTTCCTTAGCATAGATACGAAACAGCCCACAACAACATTCTCGCTCTCACTACAGCGACCTTCGTCAGCTGTGAGATACTCTCAAACACTCGAGTGTATTTATCCCAATATATATCACTACAACAATGTACTTAAAAACAGAGTATTCCAGTGAGATAGGATGCACAATATAAAAATAAATATTTACAGTTCTTGTACTTATTATGAACAGATTTTACTATTTTAGCACCTATTTTCACTCATCGGTTATTTGAGAGTAACGCTATTCAAAAACAAGAATGGCGACAATCAGGCCAAAGCGGAAGCGCGAAATTCAAGATGATTTGCTTGACTATGTGGACAATTTCCAATATTTTCGTGCTTTGGATAGTAAAAAGAGGAGACGTTCAACAGGCAGTGTTTTGAAACCGGTGAAAGAGGTAGGTTTGCCATTTAAATCTGAACTATGAAGAAAATGGAAACTCCACTTTCTCTGCAACCGTAATTGTCTGTATTTATCTGCGATGTGTTTGGAGCAATGAATAACTGTTCAGTATGTGCATATCAAAAACCGTAAAAAGGCATGCTTAGGCAGGGATTTGCACGCTTTGATTTTGGGAATTGAAAAGACATATTTGGCATCCAATATAAAAACTAGGCTCCACACATGGTGAGATATAGCCACATATTTTTTGTATGAATAAACCGTTTAGATTTGTTATCTATCTCATTCAGATCAGAAGCTGTTCAAGTTTTAGTGCACCACGTCCTATAATTTTTTGCCACTTTAAAAAATGAGTCAAAGGTTGCCCCACTTGATTTTCACCCGTTAAATAATGTTATAGATTCTTGAAATCTACCACGAAAGAAGTAGAAGAGCTAGGTATGAACCCCCCAATTTTAATTTTGATTCTAGAATTTCCCCAGAAGAGTGGCTATGTTTCTGAAATAAACAAAGTGATAAATATTTGGGCCACAGGTGTGTCCAATATGAGTTGATACAATAATACTTTCATAGTGTATCCAGCAAAGCTTAACCTTTAAACATTGGCTAAATGGGGATCGAAGGGGTGGGGGTAACAAAAAGAAAAAAAAAAAAAAAAAAAAAATTATGAAAAAAATATTTGCCCATATTTCCCAAAAAATACTGATATCCTGGTTCAAAACCTTAGTCCTTGTTCTTCTATGTGGCTTATAATTTGTCTTGCTGAACAGGCTTCTGAGGCTATTAGCTGTTGATTGAAAAAGTTACTTTTCTTTTATTACATTAGACAACTGACTAAATTCCTTTTGAACAGATTAATCAGTCCAAAGAGTGGGGTGAACATTTTTTTTTTAATTTTCAGAATGTATGTGTAAAGGAGGCAAGGACATCAGTACAAAAGGTTAATGCTGAACTTAAAGTGGAAGACTTTCGATCACCACTCAAACCAGGCACCAGTGGGTTGGTGACACCGTTTAAAACATGGCGCAACACTCTACGGGGACAAATGAGGAGGTCATTTCACAAGAAAATCCTGAAGGGCATGACAAATTATGACCTTCCCTATCTTGGTACAGAAGACCTGAAGCGATTTTCTAAAGAATGTCAGAAAGACAAGCAAGTGGTAAGTTATCTTGCTTGATATTAGTTAAACAGCTGTGGATATATGGTAGTAATAATTTTGGAGTTCGCTAAGCAGGGATGGATAGAGTATACAGGTTTAACTTTCCAACTGTTTCACTGGTTATCAACCAACAATGATATAACTTAGTATAACTTAGTATAACTTAGTAGGCACTGGTCATCATAGTGAGAAAAAGTGGGTATCAAAACAGGCTTTATTTCTAGATAGTAAAACTCAGATAATCTGTGAAAAAATAATAATAAAGAATTTTTTTGTGAACTGCAACTCATTTCAAAGTTTAATTAGACTATGCCTGATTTCCACTCATGATTCTGTTCAGCTTATGGAGGCTCCAGAGTGAACACAATGAATGTTTCAGTGTCACATCTCAACTAACACAATAATGAAGAATGTACTAGTACATGCTCTCTAGGTTTTTATTTAAGGCAATTCATGTCTTCTTCTATGTCATTTTCCTCTTTTGCAAATTTATACATAAGCCAATATTTTCTGCTCACATTAAATTTATACATAAACCTTTTTATAAGCTGCCATTTAGTTTAAAAATAGGTAAGGGTGATTTTATTTTTGTTTGATTTTGTTTTTTATGTAAAAATGTTATTTTTTAAATTGATTAGGATCACATGATTTATTAGAGAAAACATGATTATAATTTTGATCCAAAAGAAAATTAGAAAAAGTCTTTCCTGAGATACTTGACAATTGCCTGTTATTGCACTGCCAAGCCCCAAATTTAATAATTCCTGTTTGCATAGATAATTTTTTTAATATCTTCATTTTTTTTTCATCTGACTGGAGCCAAGTGATGCATTCCTTGCTTTTTTACTTCATGTCAAAATACAAACTTTTAATAAGGATGTGAGTTACATAACAAAGAAAGGGAATAATTGTACTTAGGGTATCAGTGCTTGTTCTCTGTAAAAACGGACGGTTTTAAATCAATATAAATGCTCTACATATTTTCTATCTAGCTAGTCACGTGTTATTAGTAGATTCAGTACTTATTTATCTAAACTATAATCTTTGTAATAATTATATAATGACCAAGTACTGTAGCTCGTAGAAATTGTATAACAATTAGGAGAATATCAATAAAATTGTTCTCTGTATTCTGATATTTGTACTGTCTCCCTACTGATATGCCTGCTGTGATGGAGTGAAGTTTCTATCTGTAGCTTACACAGCCTTTGTACTCAAGACAGCAAACTAATCAATAACATCAGTAGGGGAAACTGGTGTCTATTGATTTCTGGGAATTATTCATAATTTATTCGTAGACAGTTGATGAAAGCAGTTCTGGAGGCCATGCTTTCATTATCAGAGTGAGAACACGTTGACAGTATCAGGAAGGAAGCAGTCATGGAGCTAGTTACTGGATAACACACTCTATGTGCTCTTGTCATAATATATTCACAGTCGATGTCTCAAGTCTTTGCACTGTACTTCTGTCAGTATGTATAGTTATAGTCCAAGACCCACAGGCACAGCTAGTCCTAGGATGGGACGGAGCAAGGTAAAAACTAAGCATTTACAGCATTTACAGAAGAAAATGATATCAGTAGTTTTTATTTTCACTTCAGACTATGAACTGGGAATGTCTATATTAGGACCAAGGACATTTTGTGATTTATATTTATCATTCATATTTTTGGATTATTTTTTAAAAAATTATTTGAATATGATTAATATATGATGGCAGTTATGAGTTTGATGAATTTTTTCCACCTGGTTGCATGTCAGGGAATTACAGGGTGAGTTATTGCTCTTTGTTTGTCAGCAGATGTTGGTTTAATGCAGTATTGGCACAGTATCTGTGGTATTTGGAAAATGAATTATAAGATGGGAGCTCAGCTGCTGATGAAGGGAATTCATGAGTTGTATGACTCATTGAAGCCAGCTATCCTTGTATAGAGCTATGGGGAGAGGAGAAGAAGGAAGGCCGTAGAGAGGGGGAAAGAAGAGATGGGAGCTGAAGGGAGAGGAATAGAGAGAGAGGGGAAATAAGGGACCTGAAGACACCATTAAGCAAACATGCCCTTTGTTTTTTAAAACGGGGAACTTGAAATGTCTATTTTAATTAAGTTAAAATCAGTTAATTGAAAGATTTTATGATGATAGAAAAAATATTTTAATTCAATGAAACTCCACATTCATTATGATATCAGTATACCAAGAATTCAACATACTCTTAAAATGTTTCCTCCTTTTGTATTTTTAATATATCTGTTCATCTATTCTATTACATATGGTAGGAATAGCCAGTCAAATTTTAGTGTACCAAAATTCAGCATCAAAGGTTTTAAAAACACCTTTATCTCTTTTTTTATCAAAGTTTTAGAGGTCTGTGCTTTAAATTTGAACTCATTTTGGTCTTTATGGTAAATCCTTTATTTAATCCCATTTTCTTTTATCAAATTCTTAGAGATCCGTTTTAGTTTCAAACTCATTTTGGTCTTTATGGTAAATCCTTTAATTTATAAATATTTTGATTAATTTGTTAATTTTATTCTATTTCTTATTCTGAGCAACTTGAGCTTTTGGTGGCAAGGTTTTATTTAACATATATTAACCTGGAGCTTATTATTACATTAGCACCAGATAAATATATTTATGCAAAGCCTGAGGGTTAGATGAAAAATTTAACTTGCTAAATAGAAATAAAAATTGCAGTAGTCATGAAAAGGGAAGTGAGAAAAAAGAGAAGAAAATTTGTCCTGGATTTTTTTATCCTCATTGGTATGTGTCAGTCATTCCACTATTGTGGATAAGAACAAAGCTGCAGTATTCAGTTGATCAGGAAGTGAGTGAGGACTGTAAACTCTGGCCCTGGACTCATGCTGAGCACCTGCTGACGGATGTACAGGTCTGCTTTCACAGGATACCAGCCTCTGGAAAGTCTCAGCTTTAAGTTGAATTAATTATCATATGAAGTATGCTTTCCTTTGGCATACCTGAACAATAAATTTCAAAATAATAAAAAAGGGAGAAAAAAGGAACTCCCTTCTCATTGAATGTTTGCAGTGATTTATATTTCCTTTTGACCACATTTTCTGTTTGCTGCTTATGTTTGCCTTTCTGCTTGAGGAATTGTGTGGCACCTTTGTGGCAGAGGTCAAAGGGTTCATAATCTGGGAACACATAGAAGATATACATATAGCGTAATATAAATATATAGAAATAACAGTACAGTGTAGGGCTGTGGAATGAGAAGACAGACACATGTGAGAGGAGGACAGGGCAGTTATGACACTGGGTGCCTTAAGAAAGGAACCTGTTATAGATTACTCTCTCTGTGTGGACTGCTGGCAATCACAATACACATACACACACTGCCTATAGTATAGTATAGTGTGGTGGTGGGTGTGTTTGTACACAGAGTAAACACATGATATAATCCATTGATCAGAACTCAGGTAGATGTGTGTATAGCACACACTGTGGTCAGTGTATAGAGGACCACTGGTCACCTATTCTTGGACAGGAAGTCTATATATGAGTCAGCAGTGAGAGGCATGTCATACAGGTATTAGCATTTCCCCCTGACTAGTGAGCACTCTGGTTCACAGTCTAAAGAGAGAGCAGCTCAAATATCACTGGAAACTTACAGCTGGAGGCTGGAATGCCACATGTATATGGCTCCAGTACAGCAGCAGTGAGTGGACTACAGTGTACTGGCAGTGGAGATAGATCTCCATACTGAGTGGAGGAGTAGCTGTGGACTGACAGGGACACGGCATGACCAGCTGCCACACTGGCTGATAGAAGAGATAAATGAGATGCAAATAAGGTTCTGATTGTGGTTGTTTAATGAAAGGATGACACAGACCTTATCCTAGTGATCTCAGTCAGTGATAAACCTGTGTGTGTGTGCTGGAGTTAGCACTGTGACAGCAGATTGTATGGAGATAGGTGTGGAGTGATATACCAGTGTCACCTGTGGAGAGCTGTGTTCCCAACTCATGGACAATGTTACAGCAGCAGCAGCAGCCACCCAGCCAACAGCAGGATACGGTGCTGTCACAGCAGCAGCAAGGAAATAATATCACCAGGAATGGATCAGAGTCTGAGAATGTCCAGTCTTCTCTTATTATGGAGGACATGGACCTGTTCTATTATCGCCAAATGGCCAGCAACCTCCAGGTGAGAATGAACACGAGAGACGGCCACATTCATCTCAGATTAGTTTGTATAATTTCTAAAACAAAATCATAACAGTGTATGAGGTGTTCAAATTGAAGCATATCATTTTCACAAATGTGCTGTAGTTCATTGTAAAGCTAAAAATAGTTGTTTTACCTTTTTGTTCAGTCAGTAGATGAGGCCAGCACTGGGCCCAGTGTCCTGTATTCTAGCTAGTATTGAAAGGTATCACATATGATATTATCTCACAGATTCATTTCTGTGGTTTAGAGCCCAAGGAAACACTGACAGGGAAATAAACCAAACCTCAGCCACCTAGTGCAGCATAGGGGAGATGAAGACTTGTATGATGATACTTTTACACATTCACAATTTATTAAATACCATTTTGGAAATCTGGGTTTTTAAAAGTTTGATATCTGATGAAAAATTTGATTTGTGTTCATACACATCAGAATGAAGCTGATTCCCAAAGGTAAAAATCCAAATAACCACTTTCTGTTTCAACGAGCAGGTATGTGCTGCACAGGAAATGTGTATAACCTGCCTTTAAAAGTCTCGGTGATAGCCAAATAGTAATATCAGGAGGTGGGGGGGGGTGTGTGTGTCAAAAATTGGGTTCTTGTCTGTAATGGTAGAATCAGCCGTATGCTGAAAATATCAATGTAACAGGGGAGGTATGACCCTTCCCCCCCCCCTCTCCCGTCCATCGCCATCCAGAGATAGGTGTCTGGGTCAGTCTTTCCCTGGTGACATGACAGATATGACCCCCCTCCCTATCTCCACCCAGTGACAGGTGTCTGGGTCAGTCTTTCCCTGGTGACATGACAGATATGACC